AAAAGTTAAGCCCACTTTTTTTTATGCGCATAGAAAAATTTTCATTTCTAGTGATATTTGAAAGCTAAAAATCGAAAAATCTCCGTGGATATACGATTCACCCAAATATGGCTTTTTGAAACAGATACCATCTGGACTATATACCTATATCTTTTTTGTAGAGAATTTTATGCTGTACAACATTGGTCCTTTACATATTTGTGAAATTCCTAATACTTTTCAAATAAGATTTTTTCAGTTTTTCTTCCATTCCGAATTTTCCCGGTCCGCTTCCTTGCAGATTTATATTTTTCCCTCATTTATTAACAAAAAACTAGTCATATGCAAAAAATTGGGTACTTCGTAATTAATGCCATCTTTAACTACAATTTTGATTAAAGCGATTGGATTATAATAAGTACATATTTTTCGATCTTCTTCATAGCATTCTTTTAACTTCGATTATGACAGGTCGTTGTTCCTATGGAAAATTTTTTCTTTCGGCAACCTTCCGATTCGGAGATAACGTCCCCCTTGGAACTGTATGGTAACAAAATTATTTTTAATAAATTAATCTCGTTATGGTTCGTTTAGCTGCTGCACTCTTAATTTTCAATAACAATGTGATAAATTTGGTGAAAATATAACAAACAAAACGACACCGATAATAGGAGTTTATACTTAAAGCCGTTTAATATTGCATTTTATATTAAATGCTTGATTAAAGTACATAATTGGAAAATATTTTTGTTTTTATTTATCGCTAGAAATAATTTTTTTTCTTACATAATATTTTTACAAAACGCGTTATTAAAATATTTAGATTCCCATGATTGTTATAAGTATGTAGATATTGAGTAAAATTGAAAAAAATAAAAATTTATTTTTCTTTACAAATTCAGTGTTAACGGGAATAATAATAAATAGAGAGAAAATTATCACATTTTCATTTAAATTAAATATGAACATTTTTCAAGGACCTGAATGTTATAGCTCATTTTTCCAAATAATGGTTAAATTTTTTTGTTTTTCTATACTTAATTCTTCGAATCTTTCGAAACAGGCATAAAGTAGATGAATTCTTATGGGTTTTAGATAAAACTTAAATTTATACGGGGTATTGTTCCATAATATCAAAATAGGTATTTTTCTAAAAAGTTTCATTCAAAAAAACTATTAAAGCAAACATCGCGATATATTCATATTTTTTAAATAAGATTAAAAAAAATATTGTATAAATATTAAATTAAGTAATTCAAACAATTTCAAATACCCACCTATTTTTTTTTAAAAAAAACTTTATTAAAAGGACTATATTGGTATTAATGAGCGTAGGTCTGTGACGTAACAAAAGATTGTTCCTTGGGTTATTTTGAACTAAAAAGTTCTAAAGAATCCAGGTTTTAAATCTATTCGTTTTCAAGGCAAAAGGCGTTGAAGATTAAAAGATATATCATTTTTTTCTGAAGATACTTAATTCTGATGAAACATATGCTAATAATGATATAAGAAGTTAAACACGAAACTTCAGTTAAATAATATACAGGGTGTATACGCAAATTTCACCGACAACGTTGGACTGTATATTCACCATGATAAATAAATAAATACGACCTAAAAAAAAAGTTAAATAAACAATTTGGCTTTTGAGTTACAACGCTTCAAAGTTGTCAAAAATAAAACTAATTTAATTAATAACTTCATAACCATTTCATCGATCGCGTTATTTGGCATATTAGGTATTTCTTAAAAATTTACAACTGCGTTCTTTGTAAAATCAGATTCGTCGGCCAATTTTTGAAGCAAATTATTATCTTCTGCGAAGCCATTCACCAACCAGTGGCAAAATTGTAAACGTGCGTTGGGATCTAAATTTTCAAGTTCTTGAGTAGGAGTTAAATAAAATGGCCGAAGAAATTGCTTTTTTACAGTTTTGTAAACATTAGTTTTACATACATTTAATTGTCTTGATACACTGCGAACACTTTATAATTTGCATGTGTGGAGTGATGAGAATCCTAAAGAAACACGACAATAATGACATTACCTGATAGCCACAGCGATCAACATCTTGTTTTCATCGCCTACTGAACTCAAAGTTTTAAATCCGTGACACTGCTATGCAAACCGAAACGCAGAGACCTGCAAATAATGCTATTTTCTGAAGAATGGTTTTCTGTAGACGATTTTTTCAAGGAACAATATTTTTTTTAAACAAAACTACTTTTTGGAAATTCTAGAAAAGTCTGAAGTCAAGAATTCAAAAATTTCTACTCCACTGTCCATTTTCGAAACTGCATACATTTATTTGAATACTAAAGTTTCTGTTTTAAGGAAAAAATATATCCCCTTCTTTCCAAACACGTGACATTTTGCGTGACTATTATTTTATTATATTTATAATATGCTTATACAACTGAACAAATTTAAATACCCCTAAAATATTACATTAAAAAATATCTGTACTAGTTTAAATACAGTATAGCATTCGAGTACAAAAAAATCATCGACAGAAAATTCAATTTTTTGTTGAGAGTTGCACCGACTCACTATCAAAAAAAAACAATTTGAAAATAATTCAATTTATAAATAAACTGTACCTTTTTTCTTAAAAATAAGATCAAGAAATTAAAGTACTACCTCCCAGTACCTTCGCCATCGTCTCAGTAAATTTCTGTCTTTACTTAGACAAATTACTAGTCCAAGTTTGAGTAGTTAATTACAAAAATAGAAAGAAAAATATTTTGAAATGTGATATACAGACTGTAAGAGCTACGAAGTAGCTTAAATAGGGGCAAAGTTGCGTAATCAAGGGACCAACATTATGCCTTTAAAAAATCAAGGCTAATTAGTTTTCGAAATATTTGAAAAAACCGAAATTTTGGAAATCCGTTTTTGTTTAATTTTAGCCTTGTTTGAGGTGATATTGAAAAAAAAAACAACACTTTCTTATGGCCACTTTTTGCCCTCTATCGATTGGCATAATCAATTTTTATATGTAACGTTTAGTCTCTCCAGGACCATCATCAATTTCATTTTTTTAAATACGACTCTAGAAATTTTATTACATTTTTTGCAAGCCTTCATGAGTCCCACTGTACGCCTCAGCCCGAACCAGATTCAAACGTTTTGTCTCGAAAAATTCATCTTCAGTGTATTCGTTCCAATTTTATCTAAATTTTTTATTTAGATTTCTTTGTTTATTGAATTATCGTACACTGTTAGTGTCGTTAGACCCCGTGAAATCCATCTAGTTATTTAAACTATTACCACCACGCGTTACAATAAAACATTTATTATTATTAACTATTACCATCACTTGGTCATACATAACTCAATAAGTTGTTGCGTCAAAATTAAAACATTATTACAATTTTAATTTTATTATGACAAATTAATTCTTAAAAATGCATATGAACAATCAAAATGCCAAGTGAATATTCTTCTTTAAAAAAAATTCAGTAAATGTTCAAAAACATTTTCGTTTTGGCAAAGGTTAAAAATGAAGATCAGCGTAATATTATCGGGATTTGTTATATCTGTAACTTCAACTGTGAAAGAGCATGTCAGATGTATTTGTATGAATATCCCGAAAAAAATAGATCGGAATTTGTTTGAATTTTGAGCACTCGAGAAGCCTAGAAATAACTATGGACACGGGAATAAAACTCTAATAATGATATTATTTTAATGCGTGGTGGTAATAGTTTAAATAACTAGATGAATTTCACAGGGTCTAACGACACTTACAGTGTACGATAATTCAATAAATAAAGAAATCTAAATAAAAAATTTAGATACATTTGGAATAAATACACTGAAGATGAATTTTTCGAGACAAAACGTCTGAATCTGATTCGGACTGAGGCAGTACAGTATTGGGGGTCATGAAGGCTTGCAAAAGATGTAATAACATTTCCAGGGTCGTATTTAAAAAAATTAAGTTGATGATGGTCCTGGAGAGACGAAACGTTACATATAAAAATTGATTATGCCATTCGATAGGGGGCAAAAAGTGACCCAAATAAGACTAAAATTAAACAAAAACGGATTTCCAAAATTTCGTTTTTTTTTCAAATATTTCTAAAACTAATCAATCATGTTAGCCTTGATTTTTTAAAGGCATAATGTTGGTCCCCTGATTACGCAACTTTGCCCCCATTTAAGCTACTTCGTACCTCTTACCGTTTCTGAGATCCCTGTAGCGAGAAGCGGATTTGTAACAGCCTGTATTTTTAAATTTAAACACCCTGTATCGCGCAGTTTTAAATCCTTGTCGTCAAATTCCTGAAATTATGACATGGTCTTAGAAAATACCCTGTACAATTAAAGTTGCGACAGAAAACATATTTTTTAATACAGCTTGAAAATTTTAAAAATATATTTACTTCAACTAGAAACAAATGAGATATTTTGAAATGACCTGCTCTGATATGTTATATTGATGACAATAAATTAACTGTATCGGAAATCATAATTGTAATGTTCTTATTTTAAAATATATGTAATTTCTATTTAGGTACTTACATCAAATAAAAAAATATGTATTTAATTTGTCCAAAATAATTCTTTCCTCAACTAAAAAAAAAATATCCTACCCACAAAAAAAATATATTTAATTCATCCACATTCTAAAGTAATGTATTACCAAGTCATTATTTTTTTGTAAGGAAAACCAAAAAATATTGAAACAATTTTAGAGTAAGTGCAATTAAAAATATTTTCTGGACAATAAAATACACAGTATTTTATGTTATATAATTGAAATATTGAGATATAGGCTTAAAAAATTTTTTAAGTGCTAGAAATTAATAAAGAACATTCCATTTTGCAGTGAGGTATTTTTCATAGCAACAGTCGTAGTCCAAAATAACCTAAAGCAATCTCTTTGTGACATTATTAATTTGGGTTATCAGCCCTATCCCGTTCATGTTAAATTAGCATAGAGACAAGTCGAAATTTACTTAAAAACAACGATAAAATTTAGTATAAAAGACCGCTCAGCTTGGCAGAAGGTGCATTCAGTCTGCTGTGAAGATGAAGTGCATTATCCTCCTCTCCCTCGTAGCCCTCTGCTACTCTTACCCTTACGGTACCGGTTTCGGTATGGGGTATGGGTATGGCATGGGCTCTGGCAAGAATTTCAACGTCAATGCGGATGGATCCATCACCGTAGCTACCGCTAATGGGAAGATGATTACCATCACCAAAGGCATTGGTCAAAACGTTGTCGTCTCTGTTGCTGACCCAGATGTAAGTGGCAATCAATATTACTTTGGATACCAAAAGCACCAGCCTGATACTCTTGCCCAAATCCTATCCCAGTACCAGGGAGACATAAACCAGAACACTTACCAACAACTTCTTGGTGACGTTGACTCCGCTGTTCAAGATGGACAACTCGGCAATGCTATCTACGAGGCTCTCCAGAACTTAAACCAGGTAGGACAAATCCAAGGTCAAGTTTTTGGCGGACAAGTCGGTCAACAGCAGTGGCAAGCGTTGAAACAGGCACAGCAAGTTCAGCAATTGCTTCAGCAGCAAGCTCAGAACCAGTGGAACCAACAGGGGCTGCAGGTTCCTTATGGACAGACCACTGGTAATGTTCAAGGAGTCGTTGTACCTGTAGGAGTAAGCCAACAAGGACAAATAGTTGAAAAACTACTCCTCCAAAATCCTCAGATAGGTTATCCATACTCTGTTGGACCCATTTCTGGACACCAAGGCGTTTTTGGACAGCAAAGCTTTGGAGGTAATTCCGCTTGGAACACCCTTATCAACAACATCTTGTATGGCAGAGGACAACAGCAAAACCCCCATCAATATGGTCAATATCAGGTTGGACCTGTTGGACAAACTGGCCAATTACTTCAAGTAGAAGGGTATGAGTTTATTTAGTTATTCTTGATTGTGTATCTATGTTTTTGATATCAAGTAGTATTCTGAAATGAATGAATGAAAATGTAATAGAAAATATTAAAGCAGTTGCAATTGTTCTTTTCGTAGAGAAATCTTGAATCAGCAGAATCAAATCCACCAGGGACAGATGCAACAACAACAGCAACAGCAGCAAATGTTACACCAACAGTTCCACCATCAGCAACAGCAGCAACAGCTACAGGGTCAGCAGCAATATGTGCAGGAATTGCAGGAACAAGTACAAAAGGAACAACAACACGTACTGGGACAACAGGAACAAGTACAAGAACAGCAAAAATACAATACTTGGATGAACCTTCTATCTGGCACTAAACCTTTAATTCAGACTGTAGGCCAGCAAACTGGTTCCTGGCAACAGCAACCTGGTGTCTATTCTCAAGGAGGACTAAATGGTAATTAATAACTTTTTTCTAAGACTGTAGGCAAATGTTGAATGGTTGACATTTTTAGAATTGTAGGTAATTTTGACCAATTTGTTTCAGTTTTTGGTCAGGGACTCCATCATAACATCCCATTGGTTTTCTAAAAGGATAAATCGACTGAGGGTGGAATTATGACGAAAGTGACTATTTTATGCATTTTTATTAATAAACATCATAATGAAATATATTTCCTCTTTTATTTATCTATATTTGTTTAAGGCCATTTTTAAACTGATTTATAGTGAATCAATAGTGGTAAATTAGAATACTATCAGTAGATAATGCTCATTGCTTGGACTTATTTTTAGCGTTGATCGGAATTTGTTTGAATTTTGAGCACTCGAAAAGCCTACAAATAACTATGGACACGGGAATAAAACTCTAATAATTTTTTATTTTAATGCGTGGTGGTAATAGTTTAAATAACTAGATGGATTTCACAGGGTCTAACGACACTTAGAGTGTACGATAATTCTGTAAACAAAGAAATCTAAATAAAAAATTTAGATAAATTTGGAACGAATACACTGAAGATGAATTTTTCGAGACAAAACGTCTGAATCTGGTTCGAGTTGAGGCAGTACAGTATTGGGAATCATGAAGGCTTGCAAAAAATGTAATAAAATTTCTAGGGTCGTATTTAAAAAAATGAAGTTGATGATGGTCCTGGAGAGACGAACCGTTACATATAAAAATTGATTATGCCATTCGATACAGGGCAAAAAGTGGACATGAGGCAGTGTTCTTATTTTTTAAATATCACCTCAAACAAGACTGAAATGAAACAAAAACTGAAATCCAAAATTTTAGTTTTTTTCAAATATTTCGAAAACTAATCATGTTAGCGTTGATTTTTTAGATGCATAATGTTGGCCCCCTGATTACGCAACTTTGCCCCCATTTAAGCTACTTAGTACCTCTTACCGTTCCCGAGATTCCTGTAGTGAGAAGCGAATTTGTAACAGCCTGTATATGATTATGTAGAATGTCTCAATTTTTAAAAGGAAAATTTTAAATGTTTAGGAAATTATTACCTAAAATATGCGTTAAAATATATATTTTTTAATTATATATTTTTTATTATTATTACCTCTGTTATAAATCAAACGACTGTCTGAGAGATACTGAGATTTATTCGAATTCCTTTTTCAGTTCAGTACAACTTACAAGGATACTTTTTGTACTATTCAATATTATAAGTAAATCAACTTAATTCATGACATCTCCCTTTTTTATTTAAAATTGCTATATTACTTAAATGTGGCATATATTCAATATAAATAACTAATAACTAATTGTAAGATCTAACAAAACTTATAACTAGGAATAAACTAATCTATCAGGTTTTATAATTTTTCTGCCATATCTAGAATTTTGAGATAAACAAATATTTTGAGGACTTGATTCCACAACACTTTCGTGATCGGTGTCACTTATGTAAATTATGTCATCATCACATTGATTTTCACTAGAACTCGGTACAGGTTCGATAAACCTAACTATTATTTCACCTTAAACATTTTGAGCTAATTCAAATGAATTATCTTTTTTAATTCTTTCGAATAAAAATTAGTAGTATGTCATCAAATACATAGGCATCTGAAAGATATATTGTAATTGCATGGAGAAACTAGTCTAATAATCCAAAATCTTTCCTAAAAGTAGTATTTGGATTTATAGTCCAGTCGAATTAGACCATAAACCCTGACAACCTACAAAAATTATTAGAAGACATTTTATTGCACTTTATGACGGCGAAAAGTATACAGGGTGTCCGGAAATACCGTTCGAATAATTCTAGGGGTGATTCTACATGTTAAACTATGAAGAAAAGTTCATATGAACATAGGTTCAATTCAAAGATTGCACCGGGATATAGGTTTTATTTTATATCTCTGGAACCGTTTCAGATAGCCATCTGAATTTTGGCATATGAATTGCCTTTAATAGTAGGTACTTTTCAGTGTTTTTACTAAATTATTATTTTAATGGAAAACAGATTTATAATTAAAAAGAAACAGGGAACAATACAGAAACAAATAATACTAGTGACTTATTATTAAACCTGAATGTTACTTCTTTAGTTACAGCAAGTGTTGGAAGTGATGTCCATTCATTTCAATGCAACTGGCTAAACGATTTCTCATTGAACGTTTAACTCGTTGAAAAACACCTTGCATATTCCGTATTTCTTGGCAACAATGAATGACTCTTTGTTCCAGTTGTTGTACACTGTCAACAGGCACTGAATAAACTAAGTGTTTTAAATAACCCCATAGAAAATAGTCTAACGGATTAAGATCCGGCGAACGGGGAGGCCAAGCTACGGGTCCACCTCGTCCAATCCACCGATCTGGATAAGTCTGATTTAGATATTGTCGAACTAATAAACTGAAGTGGGCTGGAGCCCCATCGTGCATAAAAAATGTTTCTAATCTTAATCCATAAGGCAAATCTTCGAGCAAAACTGGTAAAGTGTTTTGTAGAAAATGTAAGTATGCGGGCCCATCTAAACGATGCGGCATAACATATGGTCCTAGTAACCTATTTCCTATAATACCTGCCCAAACATTAATGGAAAACTTATCTTGGAATCGAGCTTCGAAAATCGCGTGAGGATTTTCATCTGACCAAATATGATTGTTATGAAAATTTACCACTCCTTCACGCGTAAATCCTGCCTCGTCTGTAAACAAGACTTTATCGAGGAAATGACGGTCCTGATGGCATTTCATCTGCATCCACTGACAAAACTCCACTCTAGGCAAAAAATCCCGAGGTTTTAGCGCTTGAATTCTTTGCAAATGGTATGGATACAAAAGTTCCTCGTGTAAAATTTCCCATACAACACTTTTGGGAATATTCGTTTGTACTGAAATTCTTCTGGTGCTACTACCTGGATTAGCTTCAATCTGTTGTAGAACAATTTCCTCTGTCTGCGCCGTTCGGGTAGTACGGTTTCGTCCACAATCTCTCTTATTTGGCGTAAAATTACCAGTTTCTCTTAATCTCTGATGTAAACTGCTGAACAGTTTATCAGAAGGAAGCTGGCGATTTGGAAAAGTTTCTTGGTACAACCTCCGAGCTTCCAAAGCACAACCGTTTGCTTTGCCATACATGAAGTGCATGTCGGCCATTTCAGCAAAAGAGTATTCCGGCATTTTTTGAAAGACGAGAACAATGATTTTTTTCAATTACACTGTTATTAACACAATAATAATCGAATAAACTTTATTTTTAAACCTTATGTCAAATTCGTTTACCGTAACTACAGTAATTTGACCTTTTTCCATTTTCAACTTAGCACCGACATAAGCCTACTTTGATGTAGAAATTTTTATTATTGGGCGACCATGCATGCACTATTTTCTTTGGAGAGTATTTTCTCGAAAACGGCTAGCCTGACAGGTTTTCTACAAGAATACCTTTTTTATGTCATTTATACCGCGGAATCAGAATTTCTAAAGAAAACTGCAAAAATATGACGTTTAATAAAAATGTGAACAAATTAAATCGAGGCCTCCCCTGTCGGTACGCCCCTGATTAAAATAATAATTTAGTAAAAACACTGAAAAGTACCTACTATTAAAGGCAATTCATATGCCAAAATTCAGATGGCTATCTGAAACGGTTCCAGAGATATAAAATAAAACCGATATCCCGGTGCAATCTTTGAATCGCCATAGCAACCTTATGACGCATTTGCGGACCTATGTTCATATGAACTTTTCTTCATAGTTTAACATGTAGAATCACCCCTAGAATTATTCGAATGGTATTTCCGGACACCCTGTATAGAATGATAATATCAAAAAACTCGAAAGAAGCGATGCTAAGTTGCATACATTTGCAAAATTACATGTTTTTTAACTTTTTTTATTGTTCATGAAAATCGACGACCTTTCGGAAAATTCGTTAAGATACCTAAAGTCATATTTTTACCAATTTGTTAACTGTAAAATAAAGGCCGAACGCGGAAATGAAAGTCCTCGAAAATTATGCATTATAGGCCAGGAAAAAGAGCTGGGAAATTTATCACTATACATGCTAAATATTATGTACAATAACATATTAGTTTCCACAATCATAAAAATGGGGGGAAGATTGTTTACAGGGTGGTTAATTGTATAATTTTTACGTAAATTCACGTTTTTCGCTTATAACTTTTTTCCGTTTTGGTATCGCATTCGTATCGAATGGTATCTCATTCCTTATCACTGTCTAATAACTCACACGAAATCTGGAATCGGTAAGTTGAATAGTTTACAAGTTATGGCTTTATAAACAAATTAACTAATTAATAGTTTGGACGATCCCGAGCATCTTCCACAATCACACTGATTTCATAATGATAATGCATTGAAATCTTTCATTTTTTTTTTAATTTCAAATTTGCAACCTGGAAAGTTTTTTTATTTTTTAGCCTTCGACGCACGAGCGTGATATAGTTATATATGATTACATATTCGGAAAACTTATGAAAAGAGCTTTAAGTTAAAAATAAATCCTCAAGATTCGTTGAAAAACAACGAAGTTACAGACTGTCAAAGTTGACGGCCTATTGTTAATCAAATTAGGTTGGTAGCGGCAAAAAAAAAATGCTGTCATAACCGGCAACCCGAGTACTTTCCCAGATAAAAATATTTTATTTGTGGAAGTATGTTAAGTGCATAAGAAAAATTGTCAAAGTCAGTGGGTCGCTTGATTTTCGGCGAGCCGTGGCGCGGCGGACGGGTGGGGGAAGCGAACGACAGCGAGTCCAAAAAAAATTACCATAATATTCATAGTTCTGTCGTTAAATAAACGAAATTCGCTTGAAAATAATATATTTGACAGTCTGTAACTTAAATATTTCTTTTCGATACGTCTATTTGGATCAATTGGAACCTATATTTACGATGTTAACTTCTACAATTATTAAGGTTTAGTAATTAAACAATTACTTGCAAGAAAAACGAACGAAATTAATTAACAATTACCTGTAGCAACAATTTCACGGTCAATCAAATCAGCCTTTAGTACACATGTTGGTCATTCGATTGACCGTCTTTTCCATAAATTTCGTCGCTTTTTGCAATAATGCCCAATTTTTCAAAACTGATTTTTCCGCGTTCGACCTTTATTTTACGGATAACAAACTGGTGAAATATGAAATATAAGTTATTAGATAACTTAAATTGTATGTAATTTAATTGTCTACAACATAAAATAACAAATAAAATATATTTATATTAAAAAAAATTCAGCGACCTTTTTTATTTATACCCCTCATTATGGTATTTTTAAAAATCAGTTGTTCTTCGCATAATTTGTTTTTGGATAAATTCACTCTGTATAGCTTTTATTAAATCATAGTTAAGAATTATTATTAAAAGCTGTATAAAAAAGTTAAAGGATCATTATTGTTCAGAATAATAAGTTTAAATCGGATACACTACTATAATTAATTTAATGATTTACTTTATCGTTAGCGTGGGTTATCAACTTTATCCCATATAGACATATAAATTCGCTCCTGGGGGCGACTTAACATAGAAACTCATGAACTTTTATAGACAAACAATGATAAAATCGCATATAAAAGATCGCCTTTCTTTGCAGAAAATACACTCAGTCGGCTGTGCTAAAGATGAAGTGTATCGTTCTGCTCACCTTCGTAGCCTTCTGCTACTCCTACCCATACGGTTCCGGGTCCGGAGGAAATGTTGAAGTCAACCAGGATGGATCCATCTCCGTAACTGCTGCCGATGGTAGAAAAATCACCATCTCCAGAGGTCCTCAGCAGAACAATATTGCTGCTGTTGGATATGAAAGGTATAATAAAAATATCTGGTACCAGCCTCCTCAAACGGATGCTCTCGCAAGAATTCTTGCCCAGTACCAGGGAGACGTGAACCAGGACTCTTATCAGCAACTCCTCGGCGACGTTAGAGTTGCGGTCCAAGCTGGACAACTCAGCAATAATGTTTTTGAGGCTCTTCAAAATTTGAATCAAGCTCAGAACCAGGAAAGACAAAGGGCTCAGGTACGTTTTGGTACAAATCCGTTCCAAAACCAAGCTGCACAAGAAGCTCTGCAAGAATTGAGGCAAGCTCAGCAAATTCAGCAACTGATTCAGCAACAACAGCAGGTTCAACAAGTACTGCAACAACAGCAGCAGCTAAGCCAACGTCTTCCAGGATCTCAAGTTAGTGCCAACATCAGAGCAATTGAAAATCAGGGTGCCTATGGACAGCAACGCATTGGAAGAGGTGCAGGAGTTGGAAGGCCTTGGGGTACACTCATCGCTGACATTTTAAGTGGCAACAGGCAACAAAATGCTGGGCAGAACAATCAACAGATTGGACAATCGGTTTCTGAACAGCTCTCTCAAATTGCAGAAGAAGAAAGGTATATATCTAACAATTAGGTCTTTAATGCATTGCCGTTTCCTTAGTTAAAATATATTTTACTTATTAACATTATATTATTATTTCTTCAGGGAAATTTTGGCCCAACAGGATCAAATTCAGCAACAGCAGTTACAGCAGCAGCAGCAACAGCAACAACTTCTCCAGCGACAATTGCAACAACAACAGCAACAGCAGCAACAGCAGAACCAGCAGCAGTACATCGAACAATTGCAGCAACAGGTCCAACAGGAACAAGAGCAGATATTGAATCAACAGCAGAGGCTACAACAGGAACAGCAGCAGCAGGAACAACAGCAACAACAGCTGCAACAACAGCAGCAACAACAACTGCAGCAGCAGCAACAATTGCAGCAACAGCAACAACAGCAGCAGTTGCAACAACAACTGCAGCAGAAGCAACAACAGCAGCAACAGCAACAACAACAGCAACAACAACAGCTAGAGCAACAGTTGAAGCAGCAGCAACAGTACAATGCTCTTAGAAATCTTTTGAACGGTGCGAGAGCTTCCATTCAAAATAGAGGACAACAAGGTAGTTTTTGGCAACAGCAACCTGGTGTCTATTCTCAAAGGGGACAATATGGAGGTGAGTTTCATATAAGACCCAATTAATTTTATTACACTTTTTTGCTTATGGTTTATAAATTAATAAAAACCTGATATTTCAGTTTATGGCCAAGGATTTCAGCGTCAGTATGCTCCATTGGTTTTCTAAGAGGATATAGCAAACGAGACTGGATTTATGGAGAATGACCAACTATGTATTTAGTTTATGAATAAACGATTATATTGATACTTAATTTTTTTTACCTTAAAAATTGAAATATTATATATGTAATTTACTGAAATTTGTTAAAGAATAATATTCAGTTGGCGTTTTGGTTGTTCATATGCATTTTTAAGAATTAATTTGACATAGTAAAATTAAAATTGTAATAATTAATTCATATTGATGCAACATCGCAAATTTCCAGAGTCGTATTTAAAAAAATGAGGTTGATGATGGTCCTGGAGAGACGAAAGGTTATATATAAAAACTGATTTTGCCATTCCATAGAGGGCAAAGAGTGGCCTTGAGAAAGTGTTCTTCTTTTTTTCAATATCACCTCAAATAAGGCTGAAATTAAATAAAAACGAATTTAAAAAATTTCGTTTTTTTTTTAAATATTTCGAAAACTAATCATGTTAGCCTTGATTTTTTAGAGGCATATTGTTGGTCCACTGATTACGCAACTGTGCCCCCATTTAAACTATTTCGTACCTCTTACCATTTCCGAGATCCTTGTAGTGAGAAGCGAATTTGTAACAGCCTGTATATTTTAAGTTTCTATCTAGGAGAAAATAGTGAAGATCAAAGTTATAGGAAATCTTGCTACATTTCGAGGATATAAATCAAACTTTTGTCTTTTTTTTTTAAATGAACACCCTGTATATTTGTAGCTTATTGGAATCCTCTCCTTTTTTGATTATAGATCTCATATAATTGCTTTGACAGTTTGCATAATATTTTTGATTTATTTACTGACAACAACGGATAAAGTCAAGATTGTCATGGAACAATTGCATATTTATGCTTTTCCGCTATTAAATAAATATATAAAATAGATCTGTAAATACTTTATTATGAAAAAATATAAAATATAAAATGTGTTTTATAATAACCTCATCGTATTGTAGACAAAGGTCATTTTTTTAAAAAGTTTTATCTGATGAAGAGATAATATTATGAAGACCAATTTGATATCAATGAAGTTTTCAGTCAGTTGTTTTTACCTTCAGAATGTTTCTTAGGTAGAGGTCATAAATCCAGGGGCATATTCTGTGGCAAAAATAAGGGTTTTTTGTTATACAGGGTGATTCATTAACAATGGGAAAGTCGAGAGCTGAAGATACTACACTTGAAATGGTGACCATTGGCGCAAACATGCCTTATCCGAAAGTTAATAGTTTCGGAAATACAGGGGTTGGAAGTTAAAATTTTAAATCGTTTTTTTGCGATTATTCTGAAAATATGTAGGTTAGGAACTTGAAAATTTGTGAAACTATATTTTTTTAGGCGACGAATAAGATGCGTGATGTAATTTCAGCATTGCTCATAGAGGGCGCCACTTACGACCAATTTTACCGAAAATTTAGTTAATAACTTTTTACCCTGTATTTTTAACATGAAACTTGATTCAAAACCTAAAAGAGCTATCATTTTGCCATTAATTATGTACTCTTGTCTCATTTCGGTATCTCGATCCATTTTCGAGAAAAATCGATTTAACGAACACTATGTTTTGATAATGTGAGAAATTAAAAGCGAAACAAACCAAGTGTTTCTTCGTGTTATTACAACAATTAACAATAAAATAAATGAAATACGTAATTAAAAGTTATTAACTAAATTTTCGGTAAAATTGGTCGAAAGTGGCGCCCTCTACGAGCAATGCTGAAATTACAACACGCATCTTATTCGTCGCCTAAAAAAATATAGTTTCACAAATTTTCGAGTTCCTAACCTACATATTTTCAGAATACATAATCGCAAAAAAACGATTTACAATTTTAACTTTCAACACCCTGTATTTCCGAAACTATCAACTTTCGGATAAGGCATGTTTGCGCCAATGGTCACCATTTCACGTGTGGTATCTTCAGCTTTCGATTTTCCCATTGTTAATTAATCACCCTGTATATGTTATTAGACAGCCATTGCCCAGCTACCTCATGTCAAAAATTAAAAAAAAATCAATTTTTAATTTTTAATTTCTAAACCGCTTGAAGTAATTTAACTAAATTATGTGTGCATATTTAGCATGGCAGTAGGTATGAAACTAAAAATTACCAGTTTTAGAAACTTACCAGTGGCGGAGGTGTGTGTATCATCGAACATTCCAAAAACTCAAAAAAAAAGCGACAGTGTATCAAGTATTTTATTGTAGAAAAAAAACTTTAAGCTTCGTTGATATTAGGTATATTTCTTTCAAATCAAAAGATAATTTCCTAAAATTATGGTTTTGGTTTAGGAAAGTGATTTATATTTTCGAACTGCGACGTGCAATGTTTTTTGATATATTTATTTGCCCTTACTATTTTTTTCTAGACAGAAGACCAAATGGATATGAATATCCTTATTGCCCGAAGCCAATTTTTTTGGTGAATAATTAAGATGGCAACGTATTTTGTTTTTGTTAACATTTCAAGTAGGTACGTAAACAAACACTAAAATTAGCTAATTGATGTTCTAAGAAGTACTTTTTTATTATTTTTATAGATCTCTCCAGAGATATTGAATGAAATCACTTTGTTGATTATCTAAATCGATATTTGTACGCCGTTATCTAACAAAGGAACAACTTAGCGGTGTTTTTCATCGTCTAGGAAATTTTGAGATACGCCCTGTAGGCGGGTGTATTTAATAAGAGTCCCAGATTGACACCAGAATATTCAGAAGTAGAATTTGAGAGTAACCGCAACTATGGCATCTATCCGTATCGCATTTTTGGTCGCTTTAATAGCTTATGCTCAAGTACAGTTTATTGCTGCTGACGACCTTACTACAGATGATACACTATCAACCGAAAATCCGAGTTCAGATCGATCGGTGAGTAAGTTTAATTTTTAGTACGTTAATAATAAATAAGGCTTTTTTTCGCGAGTGAAGTCGTATGTTGTAGTATGTGTAGTATGAGTGAAAGAAGAGATTTAAACTACCATATGACAATTAAGATTGAAAGAGATAGAAATAGTAACTACAAGTCAGATATTCACCAATATTCAGTCGCGAAAAAAAGCCTATAGTTTCTGTAACTGTTTAAAATTCATATAATATTGTTTCAAACAGATGTTTTGTACAATTCGTATTATTTGTTTCTTTTATTTTTCAGTTTTCTATCGAAAGCAGCAACGTAGAAGACCCCCAGTACGAGTGGGACGCTATCAAGTGTCTTACTGAAGCTTACGTTATTAATCCTACTAGCTTCGATATTGTCGTAGAGGATTTCGCGAAGCTTTACAAGCTACAACATTCTGGAAATTGGAACGTGAATGCTGGATGTTCCTCCCTGTATATTCCAAAGGCCAAAATTATCATAGTTATCAAAGTTACAGAGGGGGCAGATACATTTTTTATTACTCTTTATGACTAAGAGTATCTTTTATTTTTGCAATATTTTTCAGTAAGATTAATAAATTATGTTATAAAAGTAGTTGTAATTGAGATTTTATTTAAAATAGGTACATTCCTAAATCCTATGAAATCTGAAATTTTAATTGGAGATATTTGATTTTTGTAAAAATGCGTTTATACATATGGATATAAACGGTGTTACAAAAAAGTGTGGAAGAATAAAATGACCTACTAGAGTATTTCTTACAATTTCCGTCCAAACGTTTAAACTGAAATTATGTTGACATCTTGAAACAAATATTTCATGAGTATTTTCTTCCGACCACGAATGAACATTATGAAGGTTTACTGCACCTACTCTAAGAAAATTTGCTTCATCGGTGAAAAGTATATTCATTAGGAAATTTAAGTCATGCCTGGAAATATTAATGTACCATTGACAAAAATCCATGTGGTTAGGTAATTCAGGGTCATTCAATTCTTGCACGGGTTGATGGTGAAAAGGGTATAAAAGATTTCCACTAGTTATATTCCACACAAGTCTGTGAGAAACTTTCAGTTGCCTGGACACCTGTCCTGTGCTTGTACCACAGTCTTGTTCTAGATGTTCCAGTATAGCTTCCTCAGTTTCAACAGTTCGGACATTACATTACGCCTTCTTCCGGCACCCTCACGATTGAGCTAAATTTTACCAGTTTCGCGAAGCCTTCTTTCCACCGAGGCCAATGTTTGTCTATGAGGAATCGGTCGGTTTGGATATCTTTGGTTGTATAATCTTACTGCAGTGTTACTATTTTTTCTGGATTCGAAAAACACTTGGAGCATGTCGACATATTCGTCATTGGTATAAATATTATTTGCCATAATTATTCTGATAATAAATTTATCAATTGGTCAATTATTGGTTGACAGAAAGTGTCAATTTATTAATATGATAAATAACAATTTATTTGTTATGACATCCACCTACTTTATTTTTAGAAACTTTCGCATTTACCCCTTTAGAGAACGATGACGCATCTAATTAAAATGTGAATTTCAATGTCCTCCTTTGAGAGGGTATATCGCCTCAGGGGTGCAACTTTCATATAAGGTATTTTTACTTCAATCCTCTTCTTTTTGGCTTTACATTCACTGGTACCATTTTTGCTACTTCAAACACCCTTATATAGTCAATCATTTTTATTTCAAAACGCTCTAAAATGGCAACGAAAAAAATATCTGGAAATTTTTCTCTTGGACCCCAGACGAAATTATAGCGACAATTCCACTCATATATAAAAAATCCCATTTACGAATGCCAAAATCGTGGTTTACTATCAGTTAAATAGGAAGGAAGAGAAATGCAACTGAATAAAAAAAAGCGGATAAATCAAAAATTTATCGACATGTCTCGATTTGGCAATAACTGTGAAGAAGAAATAGAAAATGAAATTCAAAATTGTATCCCTAAGAATTCGCAAAAAAGCCAATCTTCAATTTGGAACCAATTTAGAATATTTTGTAAAGAAAGAAATTTTGATTTGGACACACTGTTTGACGATGTGGCAAGGATATTAATGCATACAGGGTGTTAAAAAAAGAGTGTAAAATATTTCAGGAGGTAATAGTATGAACCAAAATAAGCAGAAAAGTCTTAATAAACATGGGTCCGCAAAGTAACGGTTGCGGAGATATGGACCACTATTCGTTTTTCAAACATTTTATTTTATTAGGAATAAACCGACAAAGGAAGCTTTTAACAAACAAAAAACAAAGTTACAGAAGATGTTCAAAGTGCCCTCCGTCCATTTCCAAGCAGGCACGACATCTTCGTCTCAACGATATTCGAACTCTTTCGAAAACACCCTCCTTGGTTTGGATTTCTTGACACTTTTGATTAATCCGTAGCTGCAGCTCTTCCAGGCTATTTACAGGAGTACCATACACTAATGTCTTCAAATATCCCCAAACAAAGAAATCTAGAGGGTTCAGATCAGGCGATCTTGGAGGCCATAAAACAGGTCCGGCCCTTCCTACCCATCTATGTGGAAAAGTTTGGTGTAAATGCTCTCTAACGGCCATGGAAAAATGAGCTGGAGCACCATCATGCTGGAACCACATTTGTTGCCTCTGATTCAAAGGAATGTCTTCCAAAAACTCATACAGTGTGTTCTGCAGAAAGTTGAGGTAAGCAGCGCCTGTTAATCGGTTTGGTAAAACAACAGGACCTAGAAACCTGTCACCTACAATACCCATCCAAATGTTTAATGAAAAACGTGCCTGATGTCCAGATTCTATTAGAGCATGAGGATTTTCGTCGGCCCAAATATGCGTATTGTGAAAATTAAACACTCCATTTCTTGTGAACCCGGCCTCATCAGTAAAAAGAATGTTTGCAAGAAAACGAGGGTCTTCAGCATCATGACGTAGAAACCAGCGGCAAAAAACCAAACGTGCTTGATGATCATTTATTGGATTTAAGGCCTGTACTCGTTGCACATGGTATGGATAAAGCAGTTGCTCGTGAAGGATTCTCCAAACAAGAGGACCACTAATTCCTACCTCGGCTGATATTCTCCGCACACTCGTACCTGGATTCTGCTCTACCAGTGCTAGAATTTCTTCTTCTGCTCTAGGAGTGGATACCGACCTTGGTCTTCCGGATAAATGGCACTGTTTGCTCAAGGAACCGGTATCACGCAATCTTTGGTGAATTCTTCCAAACATGCGTTGTGAAGGAATCTGGCGATTTGGATAAGCGTCAACATAAAGACGTCGCGCTTCGGTGGCGTTCCCATTAGCACGACCATACATGAAATGCATGTCTGTTAATTCTGCGTTAGAGTAACCAGCCATAGCGAAAGAAAACTTGTGCACTGAGAACAACTGTCAAATACGTACTGTTTATTTCACTAAACATCAACCAACTATTATAAGAAAATACACAACGTTTTTGCAAAATAAAAAAAGGGGCTAAAAAACATAAAACATTCCATATCTCTGCAACCGTTACTTAGCGGACCCATGTTTATTGAGACTTTTCTGCTTCTTTTGGTTCATAGTATTACCTCCTTAAATATTTTACACTATTTTTTTACACTCTACAGACTGTCTTTTACATGATAGCAAAGTTCGTTTAGTATTTTTGTCACAAAATCACTGATTTAATGCTCTATGGATTGGCCTATAAGGAATCAACGAAATTCTTAAGTGGACGAAAATTTCTGTTAAAAAAATTGCAGCAGGTATTAATGAACAATAAGATAAGTGGACATTATTCAGTAAGTTCTATAAAACCTTTATAACTCGTCAACGATTATCGCTTAAATCTTCGTAACAAATCTTCGAAATAAACTTTTGAATAACGTCAATGTCAACAGCTCATTCAAAAACAGCCATACAATCAGCATCCACAAGAGAATCATTAATAGAGTCAACGTCAACAGGGCAAATTATTTACAATAATTGCGTTTTTAATAATTGTTCACTTTAAAAAAATATATTCTGTTTATTATACGCGATTGTTGTCTTTTGTTTCTGTACTTTTAAATAAAGTTTACTCAAATTTTAGCATTATTATATTCATGAAATTGTCTTACCAAATACCATTCGAGCTTAGATTTTGAACCTTATAATTTTTTACGTTTGTTTTCTCGTACTTACTTTCGTAGGTAATTTAACTCTAGCTGTTAAGAAAACGACGAGTTATTAATAAAAATATTTGTTTACAGTAATTTTGACACTAAATGAAAAGTGATATAAGAAAAGTCCCATTATTTTCACCAAAGGAATCTATAGTTAATAGCTTGAATTACATTTTTTTTAATAGGTACCTTGTATAATTTTTGAAAAATCAATTATCCCAAAATCAAGTACAGAGGAACTCCGGCAATATTTTGCACAAACAAATTATTTGAAATACTTAAAAAGCACATATTTTCTTGGCATATATTTGATAGTAAATACTCTGTATATTAAAAATTAGCATATATTTGGAAGTAGACATTCTGTATATTAATAATCAGCACCATTTATGTCATTAGAGAGTTGCAGAGTTGCTTAAAAACTGTTTTGATATTAGAAGTGTTTACTTTAATTTAAACATAAGATTACAATTTTATTTGTAGTAATCGTTGTCAAGTGATGTTTTTTTGTTTACTTTTGTCTACCCACTTAATGATTAAATAGTTAAACATTTTTTTGTTTGATGTAAATGTTTTTTCAACATTCCGTAATAAAAAAAGATCGAGATAATTTAAAAAAAGGCAAGATCAGTATATTGAAATATTTTTTGATATTGCTCTCAGAAACACAATTGAACAAAATAAGTCACAAAAAAACGATTCATAGCAGAATATCAGACATTTTTAAAACTATTGAGCGTCGTAAAAATTGTAGTTTTCGCAAATATGAGTTGACAAAAAAAAATATAATAAAACCATGAAATCATTATTTATACTTTGTAAAATAGTTAAAAACCATTGAAATCGTTATTTTTGTTTTTTATAAAAAGGAGTTCATTGAGTTTTGGGGAAGTACGCTGAGCCGATACGATTTCTTTATTACTCGTATATTTCTTTAGATTTACCAAACACTCGAAAACTATTAAGATTGCGATAAAATCAATTATATTTCGATATGTTTCCTAACAATACAATTCCTAAAAAAACCTCTTTATCGAGAAAAAAACATTTATTCAATACGATAACAAAGATCCAATATATTACTAGAAATTTGCAAAAATTTATTCTTTTAAAAATAATACTGTAACAACATGGCGGGTTCTGGAGAACAAACAGAAAGGATTTATCTATTTTTGTTCAAATAAAAAAGTTATCAGAAAAAGTTATTGGCGTTCTAAGTTGACTTTTCAATTTTTTTAATAACCAATTTTTAGTTAATCTATATCGTACAGGATTTTTTTGCATTAATTTTAGTTTCATAATTTTACAGTTTCTTTTGTAATAAACAAATACACACATATAAATTACACAAAAATGGTATACTTACCTGTTAAATTATAAAAAAATGCTTAATTTAGAAGATATTTTAGAGAAATAAAAATAGTGCTTATTAGGATATAATTTTATAAAACTTTCTTTCACCGTACCCATAGCAACCATACAATCGACGAAATTTCACTGTTGGAATAATTATTCAAAATAAAATCTAAAATTGAAATATTTAAATAATTAATAGAAAAACACATACCTGATATGTTTACATTCTGAAATAATGCAATAAATCAGAGAAATATCCTAGATTATTGTTTTCACCTTTGACAAAGTTTAATCAATTAGAAAAAAAAACAGCTGCTACATAGAGAACTTTTTCCACATTTTACTTGGGACTCTTTCAATCTAAAAAGGGCAAAATTTTGCGAAAAGTACCAAGGAAAAATTGTTGAAATAATAATAAATCTTTGAATTATTACTTGTATTTTTATTTATGTACATTACTTTTAGTTTTCCGTATACCTAATAATATCTATACCTACTACGATTAATTACAACAATGCATTTAGATGATGTCAGTAGTAAAAATAAATAATTTTATAGATGTCTTTTAAGGTGAAAATGTTTTAATTAAATACAAAAATGTAAAGCGTATTTATTACTAATGGGCTGTAAATAAGTACACAAGTATGAAATTATTAGAAAACAAACAACTTTTCTCTATCACATTTTTTTCAGTTTTTGAGAAATACTTGTAATTCCACTTTCAGCAAATTTTTGATTAACAATTGGCGGAGATTACAAAATTATGCTTGATAAAAAATTTACAGTATTCTCCACCAAACAAACTTGTAATATCAATGGTATAAATGAATTTACTTTTATATTTATACCAACACTGTGGCATGTACTTCAATAAAGTGTAGGTATAGAATACGTCAATCTTTTAACATCTAGTGTAAAGAGAGAAAAGGTTTATCAATTTTGCCAATAATAAAGAATGGCCTTATAGCTCAAATACGATAAAACGGTAAGAACTACCACCCTGTATACAGGGTGATTCCCAACTTATCCAAAAAAATTTGGGAAAAGATGCGGCATGAAAAATAGTCAATATCGTAAAATTTTTTTGTAAAATCTTTATAATTTTTGAGAAAAAAATTATTGAAGTTGTAGTACTTTCCACTATTACATAGCTGGGTTGTGCGCTCTACGCAATGCGCGTGGAAAGCCACGTGGTCCCAGCAACTCCAAATACTGAAATCCGATTTTACAATTAGTATTAACGTTATTGCGATAGTATTTACAATAGTTTTTTAGTAGTTAGTGTCAAAAATGGCTTACGTGTATAGCATTTCGGTGTTGATGGATATCGTTTTAATTTATGGTGAAGCATTTGAGTTATGGTGAAGCAAGACAACATTTGTGTTAGTTCGTAGAAACTGTGTAAGACGGGTCCAAATGTGTTTACATGTCGGTGGACTAAATTTTGAACAGTTGTTGTAATATCAGCTATTATTTTATTAAGTAAAACCACAAATTAATTTCAATAATTAATAATAACAATAGCGACAAAAGCAGTTGAATTTGCTGATATCAAATAGGTGGTATAAAATTTTAATTATTTCTTTCCTTGCGAAATTCTTTCAAGTTTTGTCCGTTTTTTATTACACTTCGCCTTGTGTAAGGTCAGGTTTTACAGTGAACCAGTTTCCAGTGCCGTGTAGAAGTGTATTTTTAAATCATTTTCGAACTACCCATTTTGATTTTTTTTACAAAGTTGTATTGTAATAACAATTCACTAACGAAACTCCTTAAGTGAGTTTGGCCGTTTTGCATAAATTTTCGAGTTTGTGTCCCCATAGAAAAAAGTCTAAGGGTGTTAGATCTGGCGATCTGGGAGACCACTCAATTGAACCTCTGCGTCCTATCCAGTGATTTGGAAAGCTTATCAGGTATGCAAGCGGAAGGAAAGTGATTTGAATACTTAATAAAATAACATTCTTTCATTCATTGATATTTTGTCTTATTCTTTAAGTGATGATTTTATTGTTACATCTAAACAAAAATTTAAAAAAGTAGTACGTCGTTAGCAGAATTGAAAAAGCTTTAAAATGAGGTATCACTCAACAAAGTGTGCCAATTAAAGTTTTAATAGAAATACCCTGTTTGCCGCCCTACCCCTACACACAAATTCATTCCCCATCGTATATGCCTTGGAAATCTTAGTTCGAACAGAGTCTTATAAAAACCGCCAAAACGTAGAGGTCCACCATTTTCCATTTCTATTCGATGTGGAAAGGTCCAACCGACACAACGACACCAAAATCACTCCGATCGGTCCACCAAATAATACATGCAGTTGAATACGATTTACATTATGGAAATGTATTTCATTAACTTAATCTGTTTGAAATTATTCAATAGCAGAATATGAGCATTAGACCGTTGATATTAGCTGCCCGACCCAACGAAGCGAAGCGAATACTTTTTGTTCATTTTGTATACGCCTCAGTAGTGTATATCCTCTTATAAATATACACAATAAGTATATAGGTGAACTCACCTGCACATTTTTTAAAACGTAAAATAAAGAAAATTTCAATTTTTTCAGTAAGGTCTATATTTTATGTATGTAATTTGTCTTAGCCTAACAATTATTATTGATGATGATAATCAGTCGTATATTTTCAATATGCTTCGGGTTCCGTCATCACTATCTTCTATCAGTATTTTTATGGAAATGGTTGCGGCAGGATTATAAGAAGAAATACAGCCCTCTGCGATGTTCCAGCCCTTCTTATTGGAATGTTTGTTGTTGAATAGCTTTGCAACAGCCTCATTTCTGTCATCCATATTTTCGGGGTAGAGGACGTACGCTTCTCTCAAACATTCGATGGCATCCACGTCGTACTGCAGATTTGGCGCGTTACTGGACTCTATGGAAAACTAAAAAATATTTAACAATTGGTTTTAAATTAGACTAGACACTGAAAAAGATAACTGAATGGTTGTGACATTGTTATAATAAAAATAAGACAGATAATTCAGAATTTTATTTTTAGTATGCTGTTAAGGTAAATCTGAATTAAAATTATATCATTTTAGTTACTGAAAAAAAAAAAATTAGTTAAACCAAGCCTTGCACCAAACGGATTTGTTTTGTCACAAATCAATAACTTTAGATTATACGTAACTCATACTGTTAAAAGATACTTACAGTTTTTTCAGCAATCACATAGGCCAAAATCGCACAAAGTACGAAAAACAGGTAAATCTGAGTGAATTTCATTGTCGCTATATTTTTTCTATGCAAGTTTTACTCTCAGTTTAAATAAAATCTAAACATTGTCAGTTTATATATACAAACTTTATCTGATTTCTGTTATAAATAAAAGGGTTCCGGTGATCATTATCGACGAAGTATATTGTATTATTGATTAAATAAATAAATAACGATAATTGTATTTTCTTGTTATAAGATTTGTAAGTACCTTTGAAGATAATACCGTACTATCGAAAAAAAGTGTCCATGTTGATGTTGAAATAACTTTTTTATATTTCAAATATAATAAAAATATTTTAACTTGTCTTTATGCTTGACTTAAGAATGAACTTTTAGCTTTGTGACAAATAAAAAAATGTATTTTTGTAAAGATACCTAAAGGTACGTAATACTATGTTTTGAGTGATACCTACACAGCTACTAGTATATTATAAAAAAGGTTTAATTTTGATATGAACAATACATAATCGTTTATAGTGAGAACTGGGAATCAAAGTTCCTTTTTCACAATAGATTTAATAGAAAACATTTCCGGAAAAGTTGAGTGCCAAAAAAAACGTTTTTTTTCCAGACGAAAGAGGAAAAGTTGGACTTATGTTCCAATTTAGAATATAAAAGATTGTTGAAGCTACCTACCATGTTTGCTAATTCAATATTATTATATTATATTTAAAAAATATAAATATCTAATATATGAAATATTCTTTGGAATAAGTAAAAAAAAATTTTCAACCATTAGAAGATAAAAATCAGAAGAACTTAGTACCTATACCACAGACAATATAGTTTATCGCCACAGACTGCTTCTTAAATGCTGGAAATTTGCTACCCGAAATGGAAGCAGGCTTTTGTTAGCCGGCTTCCATCAATGAAATTTAGCGTGGTAACTCTTCTACTTGGTAATAGGCGGCAGTTCAAGCGGTGGCTTTGTTGCCAAATAATAACTGCTAAATAAATTTAATGCTTTCAATTATGTAATTAAAGAGATATGGAACTTATCTTCTGTTTGGAAATCACATTTGCCTTAAATGCTAAATAAAATAAATCAAATTAGAATTAAAATTATGAATTTACCTAATTAATTATTTATTTTATATCACCTTGGAATGGGAAAATTCAAAAACTTGAAATTAATGTTTTTAGATTTGTGCGTCGACTTCCAATATGGTACGATATTAACACCTATGTTTAAAAAAACTGCATCATACAGGTTGTGTATCCTTAGATGGGTACTGCTCTCTTATTGTTGATTTCTTTAGATAGGTAAAATAATTATTGACACAAGTGTTGCATATTATGGATGCCATTGGTAGTGCTCATATTTGTGACACAAGGTGTTCAAAAAAATTAAGGTGGCCATATCCCTGGCCGAGAAATGGTGAAATTTCTGGCATTTTTAGGTAGTGAAATCTTGAAAAGTAAAACGTGTACAACAAAAATAAGCACAAAAATAAAATCCTTGATGTTTTGTTTATTCATTGTTACCATTTAAATTTACCCAAATAAAATAATAACTAAAAAAAAGCGTTTGTAAAACATGCGCTTTCTGTTATCCTAACCCCACATTTTAAGAATTATTTTCACGTACTTATAAATAAAAGTAAACAATTTTATATGTAGGACTAAGCAAGTAAATGTTATAAGAATATTTACGTGTGGAGTTATATATAAAAAAGTTAGTATTTTCCTAGATTTCAGTACCTAAAACCTTGATGGTTTGATCGTTTTTTGTACCTGTTTATTCGTTTTACTGCGGCGTGTTTGAAAATATCCAGATGGCATGACATAACATTCCTATTATTTGATAAGCTTTAGATTATTCAGTTATTAAATGTTTGAAATTATTTGTCTTTGCGAAAAACACTATTTAAAGAATATGGGGCCCTTAACACAATGTAACATTGCTGGAACCTCATCAAGGTGTAGTTGATTACGAAATTAAAAAAAAAAACAACAAATCATCAATCAATACAGAATACAAGATAATGCGTTCGCTACTGCTGTTGCAATTTTTGACTAACTTTTTTGTTTTTCGACATACAGACTTCGGACCGTTTCCATTCAACGCAGAACAGACAATCAGAACCAGAGGAGTGGGGAGATTTTTTTAATTATTTTTTCGATTCAACGCACCGTTTCCGAATTATAAGACCTTTTTTACTGTATCACCTCACACACCTCTTCTTTCCGAAATTTATTTTCCACATACGGACTTCGGACCTTTTCTATTCAACGCAGAAATGATAATCAGAACCACGGGTGTGAGGAGATTTTTTTAATTACTTTTTCGATTCAACGCACCGTTTCCGAGTTATACGGCCTTTTTACTCTATGACACACATCTTGTTTCCAAAATTTATTTTCGACATACGGGCTTCGGACCTTTTGCATTCAACGCAGAACTGACATACAGAACCAGGGGTGTGGGGAGATTTTTCAATTATTTTTTCGATTCAACACACCGTTTGCGAGTTATAAACACTTTTTTTTATCCTATGATGTCGCACACCGTTGGTCCCAATTTTTTTTTTTTTTGACATGCGGGTTTTGACGTTTTTCACTCGATCAGAACCATGGGAGATTTTTTTATACTTAAGAGTCCAAGCAAATACTGTTTTTTTTTTCTTTCATATATTGTGACACCCCGCGCTGCGTCACCCACCGAGTGCTCTACTCAGAACCAAGTGGACATTTGTTTATATTTCCAGCCATTTCCGAGTTACGAGCAAAAACCGTTTTTTTTTGTCATACTGTGCGACATCATAGATCGATAACGAAGGGTAAAAAGGCCACGCGCTCTACCCCACGCTCCCTCCCTAGGTGTCGTGAAATTGCTGGGGAAGCCCCAAAGACTCCTGAAGCCAGCAGAGAGAGAGAGAGAAGCCCTCTATGAGGACAGAGTCACTCTTTCTCTATCGCACACTATAACTCTATCTCTCTCGCACACAATCAGAGAAAAACGACAGGAACGAACCTTCTTTTAAAAATACATGGGATTTATCATTATTAGAATAACCCATTTTAATTTAAAAAATTTAAAAAAATTACAATGGGTTATTCTGATGACGAAAAATAAAACATAATTAACTGTATTATTCAAATAACAATAATGTGCAAAAGGTCTTCAGGAATATTGGCAAATTTATTTTGGAGGAAGAATCCCATCAACGAACACTAAAAAATATTATTAGAAACCTTAGGTGGCCAGAAAACAGCCCCGATCTCAGTCCTTTAGACATATTTTTGTGACGACACATCAACAAAATATATTATTAAAGACCTGAAAATTTACAAGTATTGAAAGAAAAATACAGGACGAAATGTTTGATAATTTTGAATTCGTTTTTTATGCAATTAATAGTAAATTAAAACATATTTTCAACTGTATCATCACAATCACTTGCATGTTGATTTGTAAAAATTGTAGGTATACATATTAATGTTATTTCGTTTTTAGGTATTCTCCTTATGTTGTTGTAAAGGTTAGTTATAAAAATCGTTGTTTGTTCTTTTCATAAGGATGAATTTTAATTTTTTTAATGATTTTTTTATTTTAAACATATATATTTTATGCCAGCAAATTTTGATGTCAAAAGAAATAAAGGAAAGGTCGTACATTTGTATTTAAAGTTTATTTCTATCTTTAATTATTAAACCTATAAGTGGATGTCAAAATACAAAAAAAACCCTGTACCTACATTCCGCGACGTACTAATAACCCACCTTGTATATTAAATCAATTTATCGTCATCATCAAATATTAAAAAAATTATATTATAAGCTGTTTAAAATATTATAACGAATTTTGTTAATTTGGAAATATATTTTCTGCAGTATTTCAATACCAAAAAATGAAAATATTAGGTAGCTAATTGACGAAATTATGATTAAATAACTAATTGTAACACCGCTATAGAATATCATATGAAACTAGATAGATATTTGTTGATTCTTTAAAAACATTTTTATCAATACCTACATCATACATTTAAGTAAATACAATAACGCAAAAAACAGATATTGAAAAAAAAGTGTACAAAAGAAATCCGTAAGTACGCCTGGCAACATTACCAATGTCTTGTTTATATGTTGCTAGGATACGCGTAGGTATGCGGGCCGCTGCATTTGATTCTTCCTAAAATTCTGCTGGTGGTGTACTCTACCGGCAATTCGGGAATTTAAAACTGCTGGCCTATTCGAGTAGCGGTCTGTGGCGATAGCTATTTTGTCTGTGCCTATACTTTTATATTGAAATTTGGTTAAAAATGCTGTAAATCTTTTTTAATTATAGCGAACTGATATTTGTTTGTATTTGTTGTTTTAAATAAAATTTTATATTTACCGTTTGCCAATTTATGCGCTTAAATCCTGACTTTAAATTTGTTAAAATTTGAGGTTTATTCCCGCAAAATATAGGTATATGAAAAAATATATTAATATATTTTCACGTCTGCTTTTATTTCGAGCTTCTTCAGATTTTTCCATTTTTTCAATTTTTCATTTAGGAAAAAAAAAGGAAAGAAGCATTGTTGCCTCTCGAATTTTCCTGTTTTTTTCTGAAAGGTACAAATGTACATTTCAAGGCAATATTTCAAAAAGTTTTAAATTAAGCAGATATATCAATCTAAGAGTGTTTTTATGGATAGGAACAATATGAAGATTACTGTATACCCAAGTTACTTAATAACGCTCGTTTTATAGCAACCCCAGAAGACCTGATGAAATTATTATCATTCGTGAAAGAAGTATCCTACTATTTAAATAATATAAAATAAATAGCTCTGTTTGCTGTTATGATAAAATTAAAATTGATCGGCGAAAAATTATGTGTTTAACTTGGCACTAAAGTAGATCTAATGGCTTGGTTGTTTAAATAGACGAGGTGCAGCCGAGTCTATTAAATAATAAATAATAAATACCAGCCGCGGCACTAAATCTTGTACCTTTCTTCCTAGTTAAGTAAATTAAACTATTTTGTTCTATCGTGACTAAAAATGTATGAAAATTAACTCTCGTTAACCAAAATCTAGAATGTGTAGGAAAATTATAATCGCTA